GTCAGAAGAAGAGTTTGAGTAACCAACGGACTGAGCACCTACCATGTAGTCATGTAAGACACTTGTCCCTCCTTTATCACTCCCTTTTGTGGTCAAACTTCTCAAAAGATTTTGCCAATATCCACCCTTTCCATTTTCTTACTTCTTACCTACTTCAATCTGGTTTCTGCCTCTTCCAATCTAAAATGGTTCTTCCTGAGGTTAAATACTCCATCTTGCCAAATTCAACAGATCATTTTCAGTCCACATTTTTACGCAATTAACTCCTTTTTCAATCACTCTCTTCCTTTGCTTTTTATGACACATCTTAAACTAGAATTAGATTCTAAAGTAAGCATCAAAGGCAAAAAATCAAGTATAGCTTAAATTACTCTTGAAGATCCTTTAAATGGCCCATTAAGTACAGCATACCTGTACACATGCAAAATAAAACCGGGCTCTCTCTCATCTAATTAATTTTTTTTTTTTTAGTTTTATTTTTTACTTTTCACCAACTCAAACCAGATCTCTCATGTAATTAAAAACATGGTAGAGTGAACTCGGTTAGGTCTGCATACCTTAACTTCAAGCAAGGTGCCATTCCACTGTACCTCTCTGGCCACTTCTCATCCTCTTCCTGGGCTACCCTTCTCTACCAAACTTTGAAATGTTGGGCCTGAGCCCTCTTTTCTTAATTTTTAGACCCCAGCCTTAGTATTTTTTAATCATTCAGTGATTCCGATGTGCAACCACGATGAGAACTCCATTCTATACTCTCCTCCTAGACCAAGGGTAACACATTCAAAAGCCTACAGCGTCAGAGAAGTAAATGAGCAAAGTGGGCCAGGCCTAAGTTTTAGGGAGTGGTGGGCTCTGTAGTGAACTAGAAAGCACCTGGGATCAACCGTGACTTAGCTTTAATTATTGCTGCCATATGGGAAAGCCAACTCAGTAGTGCTACATCTTCTCATTTTGTAAGAGAAGCCCCAAATCTGGATTTTCATGGGAAATCTTCAGATTTTAAAATATTGGCAACTAATTCAAAATTAAATAACAATAAAACCACTGTATGGGCAAAACAAAACACATCTGTGGGCCAGGTTCAGCTGAAGGCTACTGGTTTGCAACCTCTGACCTAGATAATTTCATCCACACCCTTCAATGTACCCTTAAAATTTGTGCCCCCAGTTCAGACTCTTTCCTCCAGGCTCTGGATTTGAATTGTCAAATGCTTACGTGACTTCTCCACTTGAAAGTCTCAGCAGTCCCAATATAACTGTGGTTTAAACTCGCCTCAAAACTATTTATACTTACAGTGTTCTCTAATTCAGGTAACAACTCCACCATTCACCTTGTTGGGCAAGCTAGAACCCTGGGAGTCATCCTAGGAACTTACTTCTCCCTCTCAACCCTTGTACCACATTAACCACCAAATCCTATCAATTATGCCTCCTAAATATTATCTCATGTATACATCTCTCCATCTCCTCTGCTACCGTGCTGGTCTCAGCTACCATCTTTTCTCTCTTAGTTATCCACAGTAACCTTAATTGGAGTCAGTTGCCTCCCACATTCACTCTTGTCTCCTTCCAAACAATTCTCTCCAGTATGACCAGAATGATCTTTTAGAATCACCAATATTTACAAATATATAAATACACACACACACTACATATATAAATATAAGTGTGTGTGTGTGTCTGTGTGTGTGTGTATTTGACCCAATAATTTCACTTCTAGGAATTTATCCTACAAATACATTCAAACACATGTGAACTGGCATATTCATAGTACTGTTTATGGTAAATTATTGGAAACAATCTAAATGTCCATCAGTAGGAGACTAGTTAAAAAATCTATGGTAAATCCATACAGTGAAACATTATACAGTCATTCAAAAGAATAAGGCAACTATTTATTGTAACGGAAAGATTCCCAAGACATTGCTAAGAGAACAGAGTGTACAGTATACTACCATTTGTGTAACTAGCAGGAGGAAAGAATATGTATTTACTTGAATAAGCTCAAAAAATCTACAATGATACACAAAATTCCTATCAGTGGTTATCCTTTTGGAAGGCACAGAGAAAATGGTGTCTGGGGGAGGGAGTGGAATCCACCAAAGACATTCTGATTTAATGGGCCTGGAGGCCAAGGCACCGGTATTGTTCCAAGTTCCTCCAGTGATTACTATGAGCAGGCTGGATTGAGAACCACTGTTAGTGGCTAGCCTCTGCCTACTTTTCCAGCTTAATTTTGTATCATCATATTCCCTGTTCCTGCCACCCTGGCTTCTGAGTTCCCAGAAATGGTCCTGTTCCTTTCTGCCTCAGGGCCCTCACACCTGTTCCTTCTTCCTGGAATATTATCCCCTAAGATTCACCTAGTAACTCCTGTTTATCCTTCTTAGTCTACCTCAAAGGTCACTTTGCCAAGGAAACTTTCCCCAGTTTCCAAACTAGATGAAAACCTCTATTTCATGTACTCAGAGCAGCCTGCACTTCTCCTCCCAGAATTTAACACAATTGTAATGAGATAATTGTATGATTATACATGTATACATCTGTCACCCTCTTTAAAGTCCAAGTGTGCAGATTTGCTTTTAGTTCTGTATTCCAGACCTAACCTAACATCTAGCTGACAAAGTCGGGCTTCACATATTTGTTAAATAAATGACTGCTCCTGCCCTCAAGCTTAGTATAATAAATACATAAGCAAATGAGGACAATGCTGTTTCATTTGTGTTAAGGCAGCAGTCCATTTACAAGAGTGGTTCTCAACTAGGGGTAATTTTGGTTCTCCTAGGGGACATCTGGCAATGTCTGAAAGCATTTTTGATTTTCACAACTGTGTGTGGCATATTACTGGTATCTAGTAAGTAGAGGTCAGAAACACCGCTAAATATCCTGTACTATACAGGATAGTCCTCTATAACAAAGAATTACCTGGTCTAAAACGTCAATAGTACCTTAGATGAGAAACCCTGATTTAGAGAATGACTAAAGGTAGTCAATTATACTCCCAAGGCTGGTGATTTTTTAAAAATGTTTTCTTTTTGGCAGACAGGGGGGATGTGAAGAGAAGCTTCAGAGAGGAAGTAAAGCTTCAGCTCCATGTTGTGTTGAAAAGGGACAGAAGCCATATCAGTGGGTACTATGTCTGTCAGAGGTAATGAGGAGTCTCTGAAGAGTTTAAAGGCAAAGTTATGGTTTGAACAGGTGTCCCCTTTCAAGTACCTCATACTTCAAAATTACTCATCTCCTTTATTCCATTCTTGCTGAAACAAAACTTCCATTCTGTCAGAGTAGCTCAAGTACGGGTGGGTAACCTGTGACCTTGGGGCCACATATGGCCTTCTGGATCCTCGAGTGTGGCTTTTTGACTGAATCCAAATTTTACAGAATAAATCCTTTAAATAAAGGCCTTATTAAGGCCAAATTAATTCAGCTCCTTCACTCTCCAGAATGTTAAGCTGCATTTTAAAATATGCAAATACTTATGAGTACAAATAAATCTTTCACTGCTTAATGTTCACGTTGTTAGTGGATAAAGCTATTTTTTAACTCAACAGCCAGGTTGGCCCTGGTAAAGATTTCGCCAAAGCTTTCTATTTTTTAAAACCTTTTTACCTGTTCCCTTGCTCTATTTCTAGCTCCTAGACTGCAGAAAAGATCCAAGTTTTTTTCCACAAGTAACTCATGCTATAAGTTCTTGTGCCAGAGATGACAGAAGAGCCTTTTGGATGCAATAAATGTGAATAAATTGTGTAAATTAGGAATGGTTTATAGATTTTTTAAAAGGCTTTCAGAAAAGTCATGGATACTATTAAAGGAAACAGATAATTTTTAACGGTATCACCCAGGAAAAAAACCTGTTTTACTACAACACAAGCCTGAGCTTACTCAACTGGACGTCCATCTTCTGACCTAGTATGGCAATCCTTAAGGTCTCAGTGCTGGGTGCTCCGTTTACAAGAAACTGAGGCCCGAGACTAAAGAAGAACAAAGAAAAATGCCTGGCACCAAAGGTGTGGGGGATGTTTTGTACACAAATGAAGATTTGAGGAGGAGCACTTCCTCAGATTTGGAAGGCATTACAAATCACTCTTTTTCTGCTTACGTGTTAATAATTTATTTTGCGTTCTCAGAACATTTCCTAACAAGAAAATACCTAACAATTTACAAACAGCAATCTGTCTTCCCCTACATTTGCTGACCACTAAGACTGGATAAAATTTCCTTAAGCTTTACCAGAGTGGGAGGATTGGGAATAATGTGAGCACAACAGAGTTCGGATGCAACATCAACTCCAAGCTCGGCCAGCTGGTTTCCATCGAGAGGTCCCCCAGGAGAACGCCGCTCCGAGGCGGCGGCCGGCTCGGCGCGGGAGTGAGACCCAGTGAGGCATTCCGAGCGCGGCCGCGGAGCAGGGCCCGGGTCGCCCAGCCTCCATTCACCTTTGTTTCAGGTACCCCTGCTCCCAGCCGGGCCGGGGATCCCGCCCGTAGCCCAGAGCTGGTGGTGACACATCCTTCTTTGGCCAAGTCGGGCCGAGGCTGGGCAGGGGGCGGGGAAGGAAAATGAAGCCTCAGCGCCTAACGACGTGACTCTCAGTTCTTCCAAAACGTTGGCATTTGTTTCTCTGCCAAGCTTTCCCGTTAACAAGTTCCCGAGGACCGTAAGGGCGAACTGGCCTACGAGCCCCGAAAAGTGGGAGGGCCCAGGCCGCCCCCCGCCTTGCCTCCACCGCGGGCGCCTCGGGGCAGGCGTTTTCCACACCTCCCGGGCCACCGTGCCCCGAGACCGAGCTGGGAGTGCAGAGGCGGCCGCACCGCCTCGAATCCCGACTTCCACAGCCCTGTCCGCTCCGCGCGGCCCCTCCGGCCAGGCCGGTCCCCGCCCCCAGGCCTCGGCCCCGCCTGCCCCGGCCTCCGCGCGCCGCCCCCCGGCCTCGCCACCCTCTCAGGCCGGGCCGCGGGAGCAGAGGGCTCCGGGCCTCCCGGCGGGTGTCCCCGCGCCTACCTCGGCGCCCGCGGCTCCTCCTCCGGCTGCTGCCTCGGCTCGCGCGCGGCACTCGCCTCCAGAGCTCCCTGCGGCGCGGGCTCTGGGGCTACGAATGCGGCTAGTGAGGAGCGGAGGCCTGAGCGTGCCCCGCCCAGCCGCCCGCGGCCCCCTCCTCCTCCTCCTCTCCCCACCCTCCGCGGCGGGCTCGGCGCCCCGCCCCGGCCGCCCCGGCCCCGCCCCAGGCTCCGCCCCGCCCCCGCCCCGCTGGCCAATGCAGGAAGGGGGCCGCCAGGGGCGCCGCGATAGCCGCTGCAGCGGCCGCTGGTGCAGTGCCCCGTAGGCGACCCCGCGGGACGCGATTCGTAATGGTTACTACTATTTGACGGATGCGAGTCTTTTGGTCGGATTTATTAGTTATTGTCATCGTCATTGTTGTTATCTTTGTTGTTTATTGTTATCGTCATTAGTTATTTTGCCCTTCTCGCCGCTGACACTCTCCGGGCACTCCGATGCTCTCAGCGGCCTGCACCAGCGTCGCATTTCGCTGAGTTCAAAAAGTTGTGTGAATTTTGAAAGAACAAATTTACTTTTAGCTGTAACAAAATATAACACAAATACAGAAAGGCATATAAAAACTAATGCAGAGTTGAATGGATTATTCTGAGACACACCCTTATAACTGCTCCCCCAATTTAACGTCATGTAAAATGATCTTAAAACAAAACCTCATCAATAGCTATGAGGGCCCCCCAAAATCGTCCTACTTCCAACTGCCACAAGAACTTAAAGGCCGCTGGCCCATAAACGTGCTCTCTCCAAAAGTACATTTGTAAAATGAAATTTCCCCAGAATTAGGAACCCCCAATTAAGAGTTATTTGTAAAATTCTTAATTAAAAAGATAAATCTAAAAATATAAGCATATATATAACAATAAATAAGTCAATCGATTGGAAGATTGAATAGCATGAGGAAGAAGCATCTAGGAGTATATAAAGACTTAAAAATAGGCAAGGATTACGGCTGTGAGGCTATGTCCTGGGCACCTGGGCTATCCTCACTGTGTCACCAGCACCTAGCATAGCACCAGGCACATACTAGGTACTATATGTGTGTGTGTATGAACATATGTATATGTGTATGTACATACATTAATACACAGACATATATGTATGTGTGTGTATATACATATATATATATATATATATATATATATATATATATGGCACAAGGAGAGAAAAAAATATGTAAAATTACCCCAAACAGGCTTTACCTACTGGACAATTTCACCCAAGGTCAATCCTTCTGATAGCTAAAATGATGTGCTCAGTGAGATGCCTTAATGCCTTGGAAAGCAAGAGACCATTATACTTTCAACTTTATACTGCTTTTCCATTTTAAACGCCCTTTCACAGGCATATGACATCTTATTAAAGACAGAGCGATCCTGTAAAAAAGGTGGGGCAGAACAGGACTTTGCAAAGGTCACAGTGCAATGCATACTGAGAAGAAGGTGAAGTACACAATGAACCATAAAATGATTTCAATACTGCTGACCCTGCCAACCAGCATTCCTGGTTTGTCTTAAGAGTTTTATTGCCAGAGTTTTTACATTATGACTCCTTTGACTCTTTTGCCGTACATTTATACACATTATAACTTGAATGTATAAAAGACACAACATTTGACTGGAAATTTGATTCAATACAATGAGGTTAGCCTCTCCATCATGAGCACCTTGGTGGACGGGGGCTCAAGACTCGCTAATTCACTGCAATTTATAGAGCACCCAGGCTCTGTGGCAGGAAGTAGGAATACAAAGCACATAAAATAAATAAGATACAATCTTTGCTCTTAAGAGGCTTATGGTCAAGTAAAGGGGAAAGGTTTGGAAGTAAATCAGTGTTTTTTATGGTGGTAGGGGAATAGTCATAAGCACAATTAATTCCACTAGGGCTAAGAAGAGAATAGGGTAAGTCTTGTCAGAGAACATCTGCATATTTTTCATTATAAAAAAATCAAACATTGCAAACATAAGAATAACATAATGAGCTACTATGAGCCCATTACTCAGCTTCAACAATTACCGCCTCATGGTCAATTTGTTCCAGCTGTACCCTCACCTTTTCTTTCCCTCCCTGGATTATTTTGGAGCAAATCACATGCAGAATATTATTTCACTCATAAATATTTAACTATGCATCTCTAAATGATAAAGTCTATTTTAAGAAACAACCACAAAATCATTAAAATTGTTTAATTATTTCTTAATATCTAGACAGTGTTTAAATTTTCCTGATTTTCTCATATATGATTAACGTAGTTTATTTCTTCAAGTCAGGATCCAAACAAGGTCCTCATATTGTATTTGGTTAAAATCTCTTAAACCTTTTTATTTCCTTGTACTTTATATGTTGAAGAAATATATGGTTTGTCCTATGGAGTTTCTCACATTCTGCGTTTTGTTGATTGCATCCCTGTGTTGTTTTTTAACATGTGCATCTACTCCTCTATTTTTTCACAAACTAATAGTTAGAACTAGAGATTTGGTCAGATTTAGGAAAATACAACCCATACTGTAAAGAAAAATCAGCCAATCAAAAAAAAAAAAGAACCAGAACTTGCACAGATATTAGAATCAGCAGCCAAGAACATTAAAATTACTATAATTATATTCTGAATGTTAAAAAAGTTAAATAGATATAAAAAAGAAAAAAGCCTAACTAGTATTTTTATAGATGAAGACTATAATGTCTGAGGTAAAAATAGTTTGGATCGGATTAATGGCAAATTAGACATTGCCAAAGAAATGATTAGTGAACTTGAAGTCACATCAATAGAAATTATCCAAAATGAAACATACAGGAAAAAAAATTAAAAATCAGAAAGAGTATCAGTGAGTTGTGGAACAACTACAAGTGGCCTAATATATATGTAAATAAAATCTCCAAAGGAGCGGGTGGGGACAAAGAATATTTGAAGAAATAATAGCCAAAAGTTTCCAAAATTTATGAAAATAATATACTCTTCGATCTACGAAGTTCAGCAGACTTCCAGTTTCCAGTCCTGCAGATGACAGAATTAAACCCAACCACATCAATAATCATATTAAATGTGGGACTCCTGGTTCCAAAATGGCAATGTAGAAGTAAGCTGGCCTCACTAACCATCCTCCCACCCCCCAGAAAACCAGAACCAAATATACAGCACTGAGATTATCACTAGCAATATCCCAGAAATAAAATATGTGGATGAGACAGTTCCAGGACCATAGAGAACCAAAAAAAACTCCAAGCAAGGCCAGGCGTGGTGGCTCAAGCCTGTAATCCTAGCCCTCTGGGAGGCCGAGGCGGGCGGATTATTTGAGCTCAGGAGTTCAAGACCGGCCTGAGCAAGAGCGAGACCCCGTCTCTACTAAAAATGGAAAGAAATTAATTGGACAACTAAAAACTATATAGAAAAAATTAACCGGGCATGGTGGCATATGCCTATAGTCCCAGCTACTCGAGAGGCTGAGGCAGGAGGATCGCTTGAGCCCAGGAGTCTGAGGTTGCTGTGAGCTAGGCTGACGCCATGGCACTCTAGCCCAGGCAAAAGAGTGAGACTCTGTCTCAAAAAAAAAAAAAAAAAAACTCCAAGCAGACAATAAGAAAATTGGACTTCCACATTAATGGTGCCCTTCCCCCCATTCTGCCTGGCACCAAGCCCGCAGAAAATTTCCATTCAACTCATGGTTTCTACACTGGAAAAAGTGAGATTGAAGCGGACGAGCAGCTTCTCCACCATCTTGGGCTCCCTGGCAGGAATCTGTCCCTGCCTTAATCCACAGGAAACACTGTGAGTACCTGAAGGAAGAAATATTCCTTCGGACAGGCAGAGACAAATGGGGAGGCAGGACTATCCCCAGCCCTGGAAACTCTGCTCTGTAACTCAGCCAAATGAGATGCCAAATCGGAGTGGCTGTTCAGCAGCACCATGCTGTAGCAGGTACATTCCATAGGTTGCCTGGGCATGAACCCCAGCCAGGCTTCTCACACTGTTGGGATATACCCTTTGGGACCTCCCATTTACTAGGGCCAAGGAGAACCTGGGATTAAGACATCACCTAGAGCTAAAAAGGAGGCAGTGACCTAGCAACAAGGAATCTCTAAGCAAATATATTCAATAAAAGCCAAAACAAGCCAGACAGAGAAGACTAGAATAAATAACTAATCTTTCAATGCAAAGACATAGACATACATCCACAAGAAACATCAGCAAACAGGGAACCATGACCTCCTCAAACAAACAAAGCAAGGAACCAGTGACTGACTCTAATGAGACAGCAATATGTGAGCTCTCTGACCAAGAATTTGAAATAGCAGTTTTAAGGAAACTCAGTGATCTACAAGATGACATAGGAAAAGCAATTCAGAAATTTATCAGAGAAATTTAACAGAGATTAAAATTAAAAAAATAAAACAAATTTTAGAACCAAGAAATACATTGCCGAACTGGATAATCCATTAGAGGCTCTCAAGAACAGAATGGATCAAGCAGAGGAAAGAATCAGTAATCTCAAAGGCAGGCTATTTGAAAATACACAGGCAGAGGTGATAAAAGTAAAAAGAATGGTAGGGAACAAAGACTGCCTGCAAGATACAGAACATTACCTCAAAAGATCAAATTTAAGAGTTATTGGTGTTTAACAGGGAGTTGAATAAGAGCAAGGAGTAGAAAACTTATTCAAAGAAATAATAACAGAAAACTTTCCAAAACTTGAGAAAGATATAAATATCCAGATACAGGAAGGTCAGAGAATACCAAACAGATTTCACCCAAAGAAGACTACCCCAAGGCATATAAGTAAACTCTCAAAACTAAAGGACAAAGAGAAGCTCCTAAAAGCAGCAAGAGAAAAGAAATAAATAACAGATAAAGGAGCTCCAATTTGTCAGGCAGCACACTTCTCAAGGGAACCATACATGCCATGAGGGAGTAAAATGACATTTTCAAAGAGTTAAAAGAAAAAAAAAATCTGCCATCCAAGAATACTGTACCCAAAACAAAGTTATCCTTTAATTATGAAAGAGAGATAAAGTCTTTCCTAGACAAACAAAAGCTGAGAGAATTCACCACCACCAGACATGTCTTGCAAGAAATGATAAAAGGAGTTCTTCAATCTGAAAGAAAAAACAGT